AAAAAAAAAAAAAAGGATTTGCAAGAGGTTAGGCTTAAGACTGGAGGTGTGGGGGCGGTGCCTGTGGCGCAAAAGGGTGGAGCACCGGCCCCATATGCCGGAGGAGGTGGGTTCAAACCCAGCCCTGGCCAAAAAAAATAGACTGGAGGTGTGATGCAGACAGGACAAGTGACTTAAAGATGACATTTCATGTGAAGTTGGAATCCATTACACGCTCTACCGTTCTGGCTGTAGTTATGACCTTGGCTTCACTGACTATCCTTAAACAAAACTTAAAAAAATATATATATACATGTAAAATAAGATCTTTTATGCCTCGGTTTTCCTACCTGTGCAATGGCGTACTTTTATTATTAAATATTAGGAATGTGAGTGAGTTTCATACTTTGGTGGTTAGAGCCATCATTTTGCCCCCATATTTTAAGATAGTCCATGATTATTAGCTTTTCAAAAGCTAATGATTGTTCACTTTTTTGAAAATAGTTTGCAATTATGATTTCATTATGATGGAGGGAGACAAAGAGTTTGGCGGGTCTTTGCCATCGTTCTTTGAGATACCCCAAGAATAGTAGTAATAATCTGTCCAGAAAAGTTTTTCCTAGATTTGATTAAAAAGCATGGTCCATAATACTTAGTGCCCTGATAGTTTAAGCTCAGAGAGTAACCTAGTACATTCAAAATAAAAAACAAATTTTTAGGTTCAAACCAACCCGTTACTCTTAATTTCACTAATTATCATATACTTTTAAAAACAATGTGCTTGATCACTTGCAAGTCCATATATACATACATGCTCATGCAGGTCCACATACATATGGCTGCTGTGAATGAAGTGGTCAAGTAGAGACACAGTAGGGGCCGATTTTGTTTAAGGATCAAGGAGACAACGACTTTTTCGCAATTAGAGTGCCCACATCCAAGCATCAGCTGATAATGACTTTTTTCTACTTTGTATCATTAGGATCTAAATAATTTTTTTTGTAAAAACCTCCACGATTTAGAAGTTTAAGATGACTTTGCCCCACCCCCGCCAAGCCCCTGTGTGTGTAAGATTTTTAAAACAAAATGTTTGTTTTTGTATTGTGTTGTCACATTTTGATGTATATAGTGTCCAGGTCGATTTCAAAATTTAATATTTATTAATAATTGAAACTGTTTGTCTTCATTTGGAATAGAGCCTCCTATCTTATCATGGCAGGTCAAGATGAAATCTTGACAGCTCTTTCAGGCCTGGAGCAGCAGTGGGTCAGACAACCCTGTGGCAGTGACACAGGCGAAGTGGCATTTGGCAAAGCCCCTGGGACCACATCAGCATTGTAACCTCTTATGGTAAAGGTGTCCCCGAGGCAGCATAGAGAAGATGAGACCGATGTGGCATTTGAACTGGCCTTACTTAACATTTGATTTTTTTAAAAAACAAGAGACTCAGGGAACGTACTAAGCCAAAATCTTTGATTTTACTTTTGTGTTTTCCATAGTTTTTATTTGTTCTATTGAGATGCTTTTGTAAAGAAAAGTAATACTGTGACAGTTTGGTAATTCTACAAACTTCTTAACATGGACTTTTATTTTCATGGACTTTTATTTTCACAATTTTCATGGACTTTTATTTTCACAATTTTCTGAGGTCTGAATCCAATTGTTTTTTTTAACCAATTGAATGGCAAATGTTCAATGACTTTGTAGTTTACAGAGAAGATGAAATGTGGTTTTCACAGGATCTATATTGTGAACTAAACTAAACCTGCTTTTTTGTGACTTCTTTGTGACCCGTGTGGTAAATAGATGTACTAAGAAGTATGATTAAATATGTGTGTGCTTTTTTTTTTTTTAAGTGACTTTTTTAGTTGGTACATAATGGTCGACAGCGTGAAAAGAACGTCCAGCCTCCATACTTGGCACCAGCTAATCAGATCCTATTTCTCTGATCCAGGCGTTTCAGTAAATAGGCCATCTCTTAGGAACCCGGCAAAAGTGCTGATTGAGTAGGAGGGACAAATAAAGTAATTAGAAATGCAATCCTAAATAAACACTTAGGCAAATGCACGAATACACTGTGGGACAGACACACAATGGAATACTATTATTCAGTGCTGAGAAGAATGGAGCTATGGAACCATGAAGTGACTTGAGGGAAACTTAATTGCTAAGTGGAAGAAGCCAGCCTGACAATGCCACATACTGTGTGATTCCAACTATATGAATAGTTGGAAAAAGTAGGGAGACTAGAAAAAGGTAGTCATACCCAAAGGTTAGCAGGGAAGGAAGGATGGCTAGGGGGAGATTTCTGACTTGTCAGCCCTCATGTCAATCCTTCCCCGTGACCCAAACACTCACAGGCACATTCTACTCATTTTATTACTTGTCTTTTTTTTTAAATTAAATCATAATTTATACATGGATGCATTTATGAGGTTCAGGGTACTGCCTCAATATGCAATGTGAAATGTTCACATTGAACTAAGTAACACATCCGTCACAATTATACTCATTTCTTAATAGTTTTGAAATGTACCGTTGCATCATGCACATTAGGTGAGGTCCCCTCAAATACCCTCCCTCCTCCCATTGTCCCCCTCCCCTCCCCTCTCCTCTTCCCATCTACTCTCTGGACTGTACCTATGTTTTGCCATTCGTAGGAGGGTGTAGGTATTGCTCGTCTTTCATTTCTCAACATTTGTTTCCTTAAAAAAA